CTTGTCTCCACATTCTCTCAGTGGTACCCCTCAAATAGCTCTCAAATCTCTCTTCCTTTTATCTGCATCTTCTTACCTTACTCCAGACTCTTATCCTCTCTTGTTTGGACTACTCTAGTTTCCGCACATCTCCTCTTATCTCCTTCCATTTCCTTTTTACTACATCCAGAGTAATCTGTTTTAATCATTTAATTCATCATGTTACACACAGTCTTGACTTAACCCTTGTGCTCTGCCCACCCTCCCTGCTCCCTTTTATTTAAAATACTTTAGTGATCTTAGACCAGGTTCTGTAATAGCTTCACCCCTGCAACCTTGCCAGTCTTGTCTCTTAGCACTCTCCCCTTCCAACAGATTTCTATTTCATGGAGTTGTTGCAGTTTAACAGGGATCTTGTCTATGTTTTCCACCTCTGTGCCTTGCAGAAGTAGGTACACAGTAAGTAGTTGTTATAATGAATAAATCAATGAATGAACAATTTCTGAAAGTATAGGAACTAAATTCAGTGCCTAGGATGCCCTAGGTGGCATATGTATATGGCAGTCCCCCCTTATCTGAGAGGAATTTGTTCCAAGACCACCAGTGGATGCCTGTGAGTGTGGATAGTACCAAACCCTGTACAAACTGTTTTTTCCTATACATACATACCTGTGATAAAGTTTAATTTATAAATTAGGTACAATAAGAGATGAACAACCGTGATCAATAATAAAATAGAACAATTATTACAAGATACTGTAATAAAAGTTCTGTGAACGTGGCCTCTCTCTGTTCTCTCAAAATATCTTGCTGTATTGTGCTCACCCTTCTTTTTGTGATGATGTGAAACGATGAAATGCCTGCATGAGAGGGTGAAGTTGAGGTGAGTGACGTAGGCATTGTGACGCAGTGTTAGGCTGCTGTTGACCTCCTGGAGATACGTCAGAAGGATTATCTGCATCAGGTGATCCTGAATCTTCAAGCCGATAGTTGGATGTTAGCTGCAGACTATGATGTTGGCGAGCCCCGGTGGGATGGAGAGGGGTAATGGGAGATTTCATCACGCTATTCAGAACACCACACAGTTTAAAACTTATGGATTGTTTATTTCTAGAATTTTCCTTTTAGTAGTTCAGACCGTGGTTGACTGAGGGTAACTAAAACTGTAGATAAGGGGGGGATTACTGTACCTGTACTGCAACAGACTGGAAGGAAATGACTGTTAAAGGTGTATATATTAACTTGAGTGTTCCTCTGAACACGTTGAAAATCATAAAGTAAATTTGCATTTGGTGTTGAAATAAAGTTGGCGAATGCATTTTGGAGCAGAAATGAGAGGATTATCTTAAAAAACAAACTGAGTATATCATAAACACACAGTGCATCATACAGTATAATACTTTGTGCTGATAATTAAAGTAACCTAGAGTTGTGTAGTTGCATAGAAAATGTTACATTTTGTTCTTTACTAAAAATGAGTTAGAAGGTTGGTGATGATTCATGATACCAAGACACAGTTACTTATTTATTTTGGCTGATAATTTAAATGCAAAAATTTGTTGGTTTAGTTTTCCTACTTAAACAGTGCATGGGAATAAAGAACATCCAGTCATATAGCTAATATCTGGATCAGGCAAGTACCAGTATATTCTGATGGGAAATCTTGAGTGTTTGTCAGCAATTGTGGGTAGGGCCATCAGAGTATGCTAAAATTCTGTTCCTTAGTTAAAAATTTAAAATATCTGTTGGTCTCAGAAATTGCTTATGTCCCACTGACTTTTCCTTAATTTTGCCTTTTGTTTTTCCTCTGACTGTCTCCATTTTTCTTGTATCTTTCCCATGTTATCTGCCATGCATTCTGAATTCTTTGAAAAAAGTCTCCCCTGAAAGCCACAGAAATGAATGGGTGGCTTAACCCTTGTGCTTTGCCCACCCTCCCTGCTCCCTTTTATTTAAAATACTTTAGTGATCTTAAAATTTTATTCTGATCATCCCTTTTTTTCTTAGTCTTTCTGTGATTTCCATTTGGGCTGGTGTTACTTTTTCACAGCTGTCAAAATCTGTTTTTGGCAAAATTTCATGGAAGCCACAAGTGAGCATAAGATGTTACTTGAATTATGATAGCAGTTTGGGTCTTTGTAATTCCCATAGTACCTAAAATGTAAGTGTATATAATAGGTATACTGTAAATACTCATTCTTTGACTTTTTAATTGGTTTCAGGTGATTACCTAGTGTTGTTTTTTTCTTTAAAACGCTGAGCCTGGCTAGCTCTTTATTACCTAGTCATCCATAAATTCCTTCAGCCCATGTTACTGCACCTCTGCCATGAGCCAGTTTCTGTTCTGGGCACTGGCAGCTCAGCAGTGGAGAAAGCATTGCGTTCATGGAGTTTACATTTCCTAATCCAGTGAGTGCTTAAGGAATAAAAATGAAGCTGAATATAATACTAGGACTATAAATCATACTTAGAAAGCAGTATATTATATAATATACTGCACTTCAAAGAAGGAGTCTTCATGATACTCCTGGGCTTGTAAAAGGTTGTTTCTGTTGGTGGTGGGGTTTCTTACCCGTTAACACAAAATGCATCGAAGTTTATTGCTCTTCCTTCATCCAGTTGTGCACTGTATTTGAGATTCTTTGACAATGTTAAGAAAAGTAGCATAAATAAGATGGCAGCCTTTGTCCTGTGTATAGTTTCTGTTGTGTTTTTTTCTCCTATCTTCACCCTGTTGAAGATATATGTTATATTTTAAAAGTACACTCAAGTGTCATGGGAAGATTTTACGTAAATAATTTTCATAGCATCCACTTTGTGAGTTCCTTCTAATAGCACTAATTATCAGGTATTGAAAGTTACAAACTCTTTGAGGGCAAATACCCCCAAGGGAAATCTGCGTGTGATATGGGACTGGGGCTTTAGGTACTCTCATCTCTCTCCCTCAGAGTCAGCAAGCCGCTTACAGACGATTCTGAATGAGATTCAGCCACGAGATACTAATGATTATTTCAATCAAGCCAAAATATTGAAAGAATGTGATAGCTTTGATTTGGAGGACTTGAATGCCAGTATGCCAAGTATTGATGCTTCCACAGAAATCAAAGGTAGCATATATAAAATTTATATTGTAATCAGTGTTTAAATGACAAGTACAATGTGAAAAATGCCCTTTTTTTTGTAGTGAATCAGGGGCTGCATATGTGTGCAGGACATTTCTAGAAAATAAAGTCTTTTTTGAGCTTATAAATAATTTATTTTGGGGAATGAGTTTATGACTTTTACCAGAAGATGGTATGGCCCAGTGCAGTATATAAGATGCTACAACAAAAAGCCTTTGAGGGGAGAGTGTATAGCTCAGTGGTAGAATGTGTGCCTAACATGTGCAAGATCCTGGGTTCAATCCCCAGTACCTCCATCAAAAATAAATAAATAAACCTAATTATCTCCCCCCTCAAAAAAAAAAAACCCAAAAAACACACATTGAAAAAAAGAAAAGCCTTTGAGTGCTGAAACCTGTCTTGCCAGCCAGGTGATGCAGGAGCAGTGATGCACAGTGAACTTGGGTCTGGGCAGCAGTCTGCTTCTCCCAGCAGTATGGTTCTGTGCTGTGTGGGCCCTCTTAGCCAGGCAGGCAGCTTTTTAAAGGAAACAAACTTTATGATTCAATGAAATGTGAGCTGCTCTGTTGTGCCAAGCCTCCAGAATTCGAATTCTTCCTGCTCATTTGCTCACTAGTTATTTTATAATTTTCTATAATGATGTGAAAAATCATCAGAAGCAGTGATAGCTTATTGATTTATAACAAATTCAACAGTCTCCACTAGATGGGGATATTGTCTTGTAAAAATTTCTCTGTGATTTTTTTAATTACACAAAATAACGTAAATGTATGCTTGTTATAATAGTTTCAAACAATACAGAGATAAATATGAATTAAAAACAAATTAATTTTGTTTTATTTTCTTATTTCCTCCCCAATCCCATGGCTTCCCTTTTTAGTGTACATTGTTTTGGACTTATTTTATGTACTTAAGTGTACGCACATTTATCCTTTGAGTGTAGTGGGCTCTTAAAAGACTAAGATTGTTTTATTAACTTGCCTTTTAAATTTAAGAGTTTGTTTTGGATTTTTTTTTAATGTCAGGACTAAAATATTCCTAAAGCTAGAAAAAGAGAGTAAGAATTATTATAGCTATTGACCATGGAATTTAAATATATTTTGAAAGAGAAGTTGTATTTTCCTTTGATTCTGAAGGTCCTATTCTACTCCTTTACTCATATAGAGCCACCCTCACCAAAACAAATAATGAAATATATTTATTATAATCATATTGTATGAATAACGGAAAGGCAGAGAGAGTTTGTTTCATTAGTTTACTAAGATTAGACTTTAGTTTTAGAATAGTATTGTATTTTATTTTGAAATTTACTTTACAAAGAGTATATTAAAAAAAATACTTAGCGTGATTCCTACTCATAGCACATGCTCAACAAATGTTACTGATTTTCTCCTGAATATTCCTGAATAAATATAGCACATGACAGATTGGTTTGTTCAAGCAGATTATTCTTGGGGAAATTATGAATAAGCTGGTTCTAAGAAACCTGGGTTATGAGTAATCAAGTGTCTAGTGTTGCAATAGATTTTTTTTTTTAAGGTAAAGAAGGAAAAACATGTGATGTAACTGCTCAGATGGTGCTGGTATGTTGTTGGAGAAGCATGAAGGAAGTCGCTTTGCTCTTAGGCTCACTGTGCCAGCTTCTGCCCATGCAGCCTGTGCCAGGACCTTCTGATGGATTATTGACAGTGGAGCAGGTAGGGTAGATGTTTACTCTGCCTGGTATAATTTCTGGTCAAAGCAAAAATCACAAACTTTTATTTATAACCCAACTTAAAAATTTTTTTTAAAAAAACATTTTTCTTGAATGAAATGTTACAGATGTCAGCTAAAGAAAGTTCATTAAATTGTAGAAATTAGACCTTGCAATACATTTCAAAAGTGTGGCATTTTTAGAACTATTTTTAATTTTTCTAAGTTATATAAATAATGTTAGAATTTTACCTTACTTTTAACTGCAGTGTTGTTTCAACTTTTATTTCTCCATTTAACATGCACAAATTTAAAATGCAAAAATACATAAAACTGTCTACTTAGTAAAACTCAACAAGCCTCTTAAAATTTGCAAAAAAAAAAGTAGTATATTGGTTGATTATGGATCTCATGTTTCCATCCACATTGATGATAAAGTCGTAGTTACTTTGGTTTTTTTTGGCTGACTTTTATTTTAAGACCACAAAGCTAGTTCACCATCTGGGACTGTTCAAGTGACTTGAGTGCAGTGTTTACAAGAAATTAGCTTACCACAAGCATTTCATTTGGAAATATTTTAGATTTATTAGATTTCTGTTTTTAATTGATCCATCCTTCCTTTCCATATGGTTTTAACAAATCTATTTTCCCACCATCTTCCAGGAAAGATATATGACATGTACTTTCATTTTTAACCTTTTTCAAATAAAGGTAATTTCTCCCATAGGGTGTTACAGCATTTAAGAACAAAACAAATATTGTAGTTTGGTAATGCTGATTATTTCTGTAACAACCACATGACTAGTTCCATGGAAATAATGCGAATATTTTTATTCTCACACTCTCTGTGGCTGATGTGCTTACATCTGGTTAACAGCTGGGTTTGTGATGTTGCAAGGCTCTGAGATGGAGAACAGCAAGGGGAACAGGCCGCTGCCGGCATCATTATGTTCCTTATTCTCTTCCAAATCAAATAGGCGTTAGTGTCCTAGAGTTCCTTGCAGTCATTGCTGGTGACTGGCTAGAGTGCCAATGCCAACATCTTTGCTGAGGAATCCAGCTATGATTAATGATGACTTCACTGATGTTCACCTTCTTACTAAGAAGTAAACATGTGCTGGAGCCCCTTGACTTCTCAACTTTTCAAGGAGAAATTAAAACATCTAGTTTCGGGGGTTTGTTGGCTAATGTTTTTTTTTAAAAAAAACAAGGGAAACATACTTTGCTTTTACTGTAACTGAGAAAGACCTGAAAGCTTCCTGTGAAAATCATTCTGCCCTGACACCTTTTATACAACACTCAGATCTTACGAAGTTATGTGGGATGTCCATGTGAAAACTGGGAATGTTTTTTAAAACTGGAAATTAATATAAAATAAAAGAGATGTTTGTAAAAACAACAACAATAACAAAGAGAGGCCCCTATAAACCAAAAAACTTATCTAATGACTGTTTTCTTAAATAAGAAATAGATTCCTTTCTGTAAGATACCTGTTTCCATTCTAATGCGGTCCAGTCATTTCTCCATGTCGCCATGCACATGGTGAGAAGAAATTAGTGACTGAATGAGTGACCAGGAGTGTATGTGATAGCACTGTTCTGACATTGAAACCCTGTGCTCTGTGGAAAACTTTAGTCTTGATCATGCTGAATTTTACTGAAAAAAAAAAAAGCCCCAGTTTAGGAGCATTTAGTCAATGAAAATCTAAATTCATCAAGAAATTAGTATTATTCGTATTACTAGAGGATTCCTACTTTTAAACATAAAATTTTGCTCCATGAAATTTCTTTAAAAACACCCCCATATACTTAGTACTTTTAAGAGTTAAAAAGAGAAAGGACAGAGAAGAATGTAATTTACACTGTAGTGGCTGGGCCATGCCTAAGGTCTGCCTTCCTTCCAAGGGCATAGTGGCCCTGGCATCGCTAGATCTTCTGTGCCCTTAGTGGCAAAGCTGCCAATTTGAGAGTCAACACTGTAGGTGAATGTGACAACAGAAGACCAGCAGAGACAGAGGCAGTGAACTGACTTGCAGGCAGTGCTCCCTGTTGTGGAGGAGAATTTGGACCTTGGATTTCTTACTCCCAGGAGTCATAACTGTGATCTGTTTTTCCCTTGATGGATGAAGGAAGTTGTTCTATACAGTTTGAAATTTGAGGTCTTGAATGTAGACAGCAGGGAGGATTTCTTTTGGAACTCAGTTCCTTAAAGCCCATCCCGAGTTTATAACAGGTCAGCAGGTAGTGAGACTACGATTTAGGGGGTTTTGCTGCTGTCCAAGGAGCAGAGCTGGTGCTTGTTTATGATTCTGAGTATTCAGTGCTATGTTCACAAGCTCTTAGAGCTGGAAGGGCCACAGAGGTGATATTATCCAGCTCCTCTGCACAAGGGGAAACTGCAGCCCTTGGATGTTACCTGGTTTTCCCAAGATCACAAAGCTGGTTTGTGGCCGCTCTCGGACAGGAACCCAATTCTTCTGCCTCCCAGCCTGTGTTCTGACACAACACAGTGCTGCCTTTGTTCTGAACTGCTCATTTAATTTTTCTTGAACTTCTTAAAATTTAATTTTCCCTACTTCCCATAGCCAACCAGCTTTTTGCAAGCAATAGTACAGTAAGGCAACTTGCTACTGAACTTTTTAGCAAACGATCCATTTTCCCTAGATGACTCCTTGTGAAGCAGTGTGTCCTCCACGACTTCACCAAGAGGAAAATGTGTTCATTCAGAGGCACGTCTGACTTTTCCTCCTGCGCTGTAATCACATAATGAAAGGTTCTTTCATGGTGTCCCTGTACAGGAGGCAGAGATAAAACCAGCTTTGAGGGATGTAAGTCGAGAATCTTAAAGGGAGAGCAGTGCGTGCAACCTTATCTCACAGCTTTCTGACTGCTGTGTGTCTGGGTTTCAAGCTGGATGTTTTGCTGATGTAGAGCTTTTGCTTGATACATTGTTGGTCCTCCTTCCATGGGATATCGGATACCCAGTACCTACTGATTTTTTTGAACAACTTCCTTTACCTGGACTATCAGTTCATATGTTTATGTATTTTCCCTAATATTCCTAAAAAGAAGCTTTTGGATAGATTTTTTTTTTTCAGATCTGCTTTCCCCTTCCTAGTAATTATTGCCACAGAAATCACATGAATAAAAATAATTATCAACAATTAGAAATCAGCAATTTTTTTTAAACTCCTACTTTAGATTCTGTTGTAATTTTCATGATGTATGTGGCTAACTGGGTTTACACATTCCCTCAGTACCTTTTGTTGCTGTTTTAGATTTTTGTTAATGGACTGTAAATGGGATGTATGATTATTAGCATGCATAAGTCTTAAAAGAAATTGTCTTTTGTATTTACCAAAGTTTATTTTTTAGAAATTGTGAATAAGTATATATTGAATTGTGCTGAATGCAGGTTAGCACTTTAAGCTGTAAAATGAACTTGAGCATATAATCACATCATTTTGTCAGCTGTTTGTTGACTGCTTTACTACAAGGGTGTTCTGGGAACATTAAGAAATACAACATGTGGTTCTCTGACCTCAAAGGGTTTAGAAATATAATAGAGCATACAAGACAGAAATTCATTTTAAAAAGTCAGACTAAAGGGCAGTTGTTAAAATGGCACATGGTTAAGAATTTGCCAGAAAGCAAAGAATAAACATTCTGGTAGGAAGATGTCTGAATACCAGAAAACCATTGCCTTTGTTATCATTATGTAGGAGGACAGTGTTTGGGCTTTGAAGAAATCCCAAGTGTTAGTAAGAAATCACTGTAGTAGAGAATGTCCAGTTTAAAACATTAATTATCTTACTGTAGTGTACACTTTTATAAACTATTCCATTTAACCAAAATGGAATTAGAATCTCCTGTTGACATTCCCAAGGTTATAAAAAGTGGCTGTGTCTTAAAGTAAAATTTAAGGTTTAGGGATTAAGTCTTACTACTAGGTGACACAAAATAAAAACAAG